AAATGTATAAAATGCGTTTGTGTTTGTATAAAGCGAGAGAAAAGTGTATATACAAATACAAATAAATATATTTTCATCCTATACACTTATAATTATACAAATACAAATCTTATTATACAAATTACAATGTATAAATGAATCTATACAAAACTAAACAATTTGTATAAAATTGGATGTATCTAGCGAATTATACAAATCAAAAGCTCCATAGCAAACATAAAATTTGCTATGGAGCGCAATTTTGCAAACTATAGTTATAACATATAAATATGATTTTTATGTTTACTATATGTGAAAGTTGCTCATAAAATTATGATAATAATTTAGGGATATTTATGTCTTAATTCATAAAAATATAATATTTAAGTTTTAATACTAAAAAAACTCTAAATTTGAACATAAAGCAAAAATTATGAATTCGCATATGATTGTTGGAGGAATAAATTACTTTAGTGATTGCTGCTCACTTGATCATATGAGGTTATAATTTACCTAATTTAAAGTGAAGAAAAATTGTGGGTTAGATGCGGATAAAACTTCCGCCAATGATTGAGATGTTCAGTTGACTCCCTCCCCTACAAAGGGGTCCCATTTTGTCATTTGTTGAAATGTGATTTACCCCCAAAGAGGAGTTAAGAGTGTTAGGCAAGTCAAAATGTAGAAATAGAATTTGGGACTCTTTAAACTCTTCTCTCCAAGCTTTTTCTATGATTAGCCTCACGTATTTGAATATGAAGGGGATCATTTAACAAAGTTGTGAATTGCATTTGAAACAAATTAACAATTTAACAAACAAATTAACATATACATGTTGTGGTAAAATTTAAAGATAATACTAGTGTAAGAAATATAGTATATACAATTTAAATCCACTCTTCTATTGCGTTAGAGTAGGCCTTTGAAGTGGTCATGAAATTACAATTTCACAACATTTGGTCATGTATACAAGTTTTAACATATAATCTTTTCTTTAGTTCAACTAATATTTTTCAAGATCGTTCTCAACGTTCATAGAACACTAAATAATCCTAAAAATATTGTATGGTTGACAACAATTCCTCCTCTCAAATCTCGCAATTCCCATCTCTATATAAGTTGCTAGACGGTTAACCTAACAATTCACCAGTAAACCAAAGTTGATTAAAGAAATCGTCTTAGAAAATCAAACTATTATTAGTATTTTTATGTTCTGAGTTGGGATGGGAAAGATAAGGATATTGTTACTTCTCGTGTCGGTACTTTTCTCGGCACTAGTTGCGTGTGTTGATGGATTTCAAGTAGACGAAGAAAACGAACAAAAGACACAAGGAGAACAATGGTTCTTGTTGCGTCACTTACATAATGTTGTGAAAACGGATGCCGGGTCTATGAGATTTGTGAAAGGTGGCTATCGTAGGGGTTCATTTTTACATAGTCCAATGCATATTGGTTTCATTTCCATGGAACCAAATAGACTCTTCATCCCTCAATATCTTGATTCAAATCTTGTCATCTTTGTTCACCATGGTAATTTCACTTCTATCTTCTTTCTAGATCCTTCGCAATATCTTTTTAAGAGTATAACTTCTTTTAAACTATTACAACAATAGTAACATATTCAGTGTACGTCACAAACCTTACTCCTATCTTGGGAGGCAGAGAGACTGTTTCTGATACTCATATAAATGATAGACTTTCATAAAAAGGTGGGACTTGTAACATAAAAAACTTAACATGTTAAAATATACGGATAGTGTAAAATTTAAATTTTATGCTAGGATTATCATATTTTTATTGGATTGAATATAGGGGAAGCAAAAGTTGGACATATCTATAAGGATCAACTAGAAGAAAGGAGTTTGAAGCCAGGAGATGTGTACACAATTCCTGCTGGATCAGCTTTTTATTTAGAGAAAATAGAGTTGAAAGCAAAAGACTTGAAATTATTTGCAGCATTGATATTACCTCTGAATCCATGGGATGGCATGCTTTCCAGGTACCCTAACTGCAGTGACGAAGCTAGAAATTTCGTTAAGGGGATTTAAGATTTAATATATACATATTTCGTGCAATTTTCTATATAAATAGTATTAATTTTTCGACGAAGCGTGTTCAACTGACTACTTGTTACCGGTGGCTGAGGGAGGATTTTCATCAAGGGGGTTAAAAAAAAATTAATAACATAAATAATATCCACAAATAAACGGGTCGAGTCGGATATAAACGGATCGGATTAAACTGATCGAATCAAGAAGAAAAGGGTTTTTTAATATTTGACTTTGTAATTAAGGGTTAAACTAATAAATCCTAAATTCCCAATCAGCGTTTTAATTTTTTGGAACTAAACATCGTTTTCTGATTGCAGTATTATTTTTTTAAAAATTAAAACGCCTAAAATATAAGTTGATAAAAAAATGCCTCTGCCCGGATTCAAACACGCGACCTCGCGTGCAGTGGAGCGAATTCCTGAACCCCCAACGCCACTGAGCTACGCCTTTGGTGTTTGTTCAGGGGGTTCAATAGTATATATATACACATAAATTAATATTTTAATCTTTATATATATAGTGTAATTTTTCGACGAACCCCTTCGTTCAACGTAAATCCGCCCCTGCATGTTACTACATTTGGCTATGCAACTGACCCTAAGCTAGTTTCTCACAAAATTTGGTCTTCTAATCTCCTTTTCTTACCTTTAGTCATATATACTCTGTTTTTTTTCTCAAAAACTTTGTAACTCGTAATATTTTGCAGTTTTTCTTCATTGGTGGTGGAAGTAATCCCTCCTCCATTCTTGCTGGATTCGATCATACTACGTTATCAACTGCTCTTAATGTAAGTGTTCAAATGAATTCACCATTTCTTACCAGTGTAAAAAAATTGGAGGTGTCTAGACGTGCATACTCAAAGTTGGAGTTTTTACTTGTCAGCTACATTCAAGTTTGAGTGTTTGTATATGTGTTATGACAGGTTTCAACAGCAGAAGTACACACGCTCTTCCGGACCAATCGTACATTTATCTGGTTCTCATGACACTATCATTTGGTCCAACTTCTTGGACCTAGAACCCCATCAAAGACTATCTCATTTGAAGAGAATTGTGAATTTTGATGAAGAAGCTAGCCTCAAAGAGGAGAAATCAACATGGTCATTTAGGAAATTTGTGTTTACTTTGTTAAACGGTGAAGACGTTATCGAGAGAGTGAATCATAAAGCTCCATCGATATACAATCTCTACAACAAAAAGCCCGATTTCAAGAATGACTATGGATGGAGCAAGAAGGTGGATTCGTCTGATTATTCTCCTCTAGAGCAATCAGGAAATGACGTGTATCTTGTCAATCTATCTCCGGTAATTGAATGATTCATGTATATAATGTGGATATACATTTTTTTTTTCGTGTTTACATGTTTTATCTACTATGTAAATGTAGGGATCCCTTATGGCGCCTCATATCAATCCATCAGCAATCGAGTATGGAATTGTGTTGAGAGGGACTGGCAGGATCCAAATTGTGTATCCGAATGGTACTTTAGCAATGAATGCAAAAGTACGAGAAGGGGATGATTTTTGGGTGCCAAGGTACTTTCCTTTTTGCCAAATTGCATCAACGAATAGCCCGTTGGAGTTCTTTGGCTTCACTACATCAGCAAAGAGGAACAATCAACAGTTCTTGCTAGGTAAAAACTCATTGATGCAGAGTTTGAGAGGGCCAGAATTTGCAGCTGCATTTGGAATTGATGAGAAAAGGCTTAAGAGGATTGCCAATGCTCAACGCCAACAGGTCATCTTGCCATCGCGTTCCTATGAGGATGAGGATGGATTTTAATAGTCTATTTGAATTATGGCACGAGCCTGGTGTCACTTATGGAACTTTATTTTCCTTTTGAGTTGTTAATAAAACGAATTTTTATATTAAACATGATTCTATTTGTGGTTTGAACTCCATTATCAAAATTTCAAATTTCAACTGATTTTTGTGATTGGTATTTCAAATTAGTGGACCAAGTCTATATTGGTGGCTCTAGTATTTATATACTAGAGTGGTTAAGATATCTTTTTCTTGTTTTAAGTAAGTCCACTAACTGTACTACTTATCCATTCTTACAAGTTTTTTTTCTTTTTTTTTAATTATGGGTCCACTAATTATAATTGTGTATGATTAATAATTATTAGTAAATGCTCCCATATACGTTTAGTTTAGAAGAATATTTATTAGAAAACTACCATGCTGAAAGCTACAAACCAATGACCCCGGCCCTTGTTGATGTCATTTTGTAATGATCTATTTATTTGAACTTATAATAAAGTTATATCATCAATTATTATCTCTTTGTATTTAAGAAAAACGACGTGGTTATCACGTTGTATATGTAATAATAAAACAAATATAAAGGTAAGGAACGAGGTTTCATGTTAGCCAAAAAGTTATATTTTTTTAACTTGGTTAAATTTGATCTAGAGTTTTCTTAGTAAGGAAGGGAGGGTAAAGGTTTGTTTATGCTAGTTTAAGGGTATTTTTGGCTTTTAGTTTTATTTATTAAGCTAATTAGGTTAATTGGGCTTCAATTAAATTAGGAGCCATTTGGTATGAGGTATAAGATATAATAGTTCAAAATAAAATGCAGAATTATTTTATCCTGTTTTTGGCTGAAGGTATGAGGTAATTCTTGGATTATTTATCCCATTATTTATACCTTAGTAATGAGATAAGTTATCTCATAAATATGATAAAATAACTTATCGCGGGATAATTAATTTAAGAAAAACTTGTTCCCAATCAAACTATCACTTAAAGAAATATTCTCAATTTTACATAATTTAAGAATATTTTTGACCCTCATCCGTTAAAAAAAAAATATAGGTTACAAGCACATGGAAAGAACATAATGCATGCGTAGTGTGCGTTTGTTAATATGTCTAGTCTAGTGTCTAACCTAGAAAGACACGCATTGGACTTGACAAATACAATTTCATTTCCACCCAAGATCCGGAACAAGTCAAATTGAAGTTTTTTAAAAAAAAATGTGGAACAGGTCAAATTGAAATTTTTGTTATAAAATAAAGTTATTAGGAAAAAAAACATTATTTTTCAAAGTCATGAATGAAATTTTCTAAGTCATGTCTAAGTCTTAAAAGTCATGAAGTGTGAATTTGTTACATAACATCCACGTTTCATATTTGTTGCCTCGTTAAAAATCGTTGTAGTCATTTAAAATTTATTGAATATAAATTTATAAAATGATTTGGATTATATTAAGTTTATGAATATATTAGTCCAAATAAATATTATGGATTAATATAATTGAGTTAATTATTTAAATCTAATAAATATAGATTTAATTAAAGACCGCTCCATAAAGCCCATATGCCATGTCACTTAAATCTGATTGGCCGAAGGTAGTCCTCTTCATATCGCAACTCTCCTATTCTAAAACTATAAATAGGGGTCCTCATAATTCAGAAAAGAGAAGGAAGAATTCTAAACAAAAAGCTAGATAAAGCTCGTGGATCAAAAGCCACAAATTTCTCTACAAGCTATAAGTTTAAGAATTCAAGAACTCAAGAGTTCAAGAATTCAAGTGTTCAAGTTTAAGAATTGAAGATTTGAAGAAGTCAAGATCAAGATAAAGTTCAAGTTCAAGAACGATCAAGATCAAGCTCGAAGTCCTTGGATTCAACTAGAAATCAAGATCAAGATAAAGTTCAAGTTCAACAACAATCAAGATCAAGACCGCCGGATTCAAGATCAAGCTCGAAGCCCTTGAATTCAACTAGAA